CAAAGGCTTTATTGTGTATCATCATATGCGGAAATTTGCCAGAATTTGCTCCCATGGTATTGTTCAATTACTTGATGTTTGGGCAGAGCGGTGGGCAAACCATCTTCAGGATGAGACGAAATTACTGTTGAGGACGTTAACGACTTTGCTGTGAATCTTTTTGTCTAGAATGGTAACTACTAAATATAAATTAAGGTCATTTTGAGAGCGGATTCCCTCTTGAAGTTCTCAAAATGCCTACTTTTGATTAGCCATCTTCACAAATTAAGAAAACGAACTTCATTGTAAAATGTTAAAGCGGAAAGACGTAGAAAACCAATTTGATCATATCAGAGGCAACATCAGTTCAATATTGTTTTTCTACTACTATACATCAATATCAGAAGTTCAAATCGTGCCAATCTCTAAAAAAGAAACCAACAAAGCTAAATAACAAATCATTACTTGAAAAAAGCCCACCACGAATCGTGAACTTTTCATTATAATTTTACAAACGTACGTGCATGGTATACATATTTTGTTGCTTGCATAGCAGACAGCTGTACACACATGTGAGTACACACTAACGTCGCTTCCTATTTTCGCAGAAGTGTCTCAATACTGAAACATATGCATAAGCACAATTTTTCCAAATTAGTTAATTTTCCGCTTTGTTTAATCCTATACGGATGAACGGCGTTAGGCGCCTAATATTTTGGTGCTTTAATAGAATCACCTGAAATATGTATTTTTTTTTTCTATCCTAAGGAACGTTTGACCAAGTTATGTCGAGTAACAGTTCAAGAAGCTTAGAGAACAATGTCTCCTGCTTTCGCTTTCCTGTATTTCAAACGGACAACATCCCCGAGCTTATCGTCGTTTTTAACAGTACAGTAAATTTCCCACTGTCAGTGTTAACAATTGTAGGCAACACCTTGGTTTTGGTAGCCGTATGGAGAACACCTTCTCTTCGTTCGCCCTCCGTCATATTACTTTGTGGTCTCGCAAAGACAGACCTTGCTGTGGGCCTCTTGGTTCAACCGTTGTTTTTGTCTATGGAACTCACCCTCCTCTCGAATTCGTCAGCTTATAACTGTGTGTTAGGAAAGGCATTCATCACTGTTTCCTATACCGTCTGCGGAGTTTCCCTGGCGACTCTTACAACTATCTCTATAGACAGACTACTAGCGCTAAAATATCATATGAGGTACAGCAGTATCATGACCATACAGCGAGCATTTTGTGTCATCGCAGTGAACTGGTTGACAAGTGGTTTTCTGGCAAGTCTTATACTATGGACTTCAAAGATATTGTTTCTTTTTGTCATGGCCTTAGTCGTGGCCATTTTTCTTTGCTTTTCAACATCTGCGCACATAAATATTTACTGTATAATCCGTCGCCAGAAACGACAAATTCTCGCACAAACAAGAGCAGTTCAAGATAATTCGCGCATAAATATAACGCGTTTCAAGAGAACAGCATTCAATACATTCTTGGTCCACTACTTTCTTCTTCTTTGCTACATCCCCCTATTCGTAACCTTGCTGTTGCAGGGAAACGAAGAGAGAATACCTTCAGAATCTTGGAAAGAGTATGGCAGTGGCATAGCATGGAAATTGTCAAGCACGGTGGTCTTCATGAATTCTGCGTTGAATCCTTTTATCTACTGTTGGCGTCTTCGAGAGATTCGCACCGCCGTGAAAAAGTCTCTTTTCTGCAGAAAATGACTCTAAAGTGGAACTGTCATCCTAATCAGTATAAATTTATTTTAGATAGCTAATTTTAAAAAAATTGTCAGTACGTAAAAATGAACATAGGAGAATATTAATGCTTATAGTAAGCTTGAATTTTAGTGTTGACAGAAGGTCTTAATTAAACACTGCAAATTTAAAAAAAGAAGCCTCGAAATATTTATGAAAATATTCAATATGAAGTCGTGACACGACAAACAATTCATACATAATATTCTCTAAACGAAAGGCTTCTTTCTGTGTAAATGATAAAGTTTGTTGTTACATTCTTTTATATATCTAATATATATCAACCTTTCTAGTTATAAAATTGATGTATCAAAATAACTCCTCGTATCATATTAATATACTAAGCTGTCAGAGTTAAAGCGGAAATAAAGGTGCTACAGAAGAACTATAAAAAAACAGAACTATAAAAAACCGTAATAGTACGATTTAGCGGCAGGGGCACTTTCTTTATTTACGGGTTCAGGAGAGGCGCAAATTAGCAAATGGTTCTTTTTCGTAGTGAACAGCACTCATTATCTAGAAACGAAAAAAAAAAAAGGCGGAAGAAGAAGTATGACAGGACGCACAGGGCCTCGACTGTAAGTACCGCAAAGGAATGCTGGTGCATTGTACCTAAGTCGCGCTGGCTTTTCTTCCCCCAGAGACCAGTGAGGCGTCTTAATCTATTATTGGCTGCGGTCACATCTACGACGTAACTAAAGTTTAGCTTTAGTTAGTGTCAAGTTACGTGATGTCATACCTAACTGTAGTTAGTGCTTTCGGTCCACATTGCGGTCACACCACGCAGTTAACAACAGCTAATTCTATTAAGCATAATAAACTTGGAACAGGAGAAGTACTTTCTCACTGACAGTTTTAAGAAACTTGTGATCGCCTAGCGCTTCAAAAAATGGCCACAGCCGTCTCTGTTGAGTCTCGCGCCCAAACTCACAGCTGAACTCAAGCTTCGTGTCCATTGAAAATTAACTCAGGGTTGGGGCCTACGCCGGTTCAGAGTAGAAGAGTATTTTTGTTAGGATTGAAAAGGTCTGGCTTTCCGCGCAAAATACATAAGCACAGGAGCTTATGCGTGCGTGCACAAGAGGACACGCGGAACATGTTGCGATCTGGCACCTTTTCCCATAGCTTAAACATTCTTTACGTTTGTGTGTTCTCATTCTCTATAGATTTAGCCAAGTCTTCTCACGTAAAAATATTAAAATGTCAAATTACAAGGATGTTTCTTTCGTGAAGTTAATAACTGTATAGGAACTTAATGTGCTATTCAGCTCTAGAGAATTTGTTATGTCTGGAAGCTCAAAGTTCACGGGAATCGTCGAGGCTAAGCAAATGAATCATTGAAAAAGGCACCGTTCTTCAAGGGTTTTAGAAATAAATCGCGCTTTACAAAGCGAAGAAAACTTTATCGAATGTTACCGATCGGCGAAAAAGCGAATCAAATCTATGGAGTCATATAGTGGTTTAAGGTATTACTGAGCACAAGTTGGCGTCATGTCATAATAAAGACGCAGCGATATAAATTTCTTAAATTCTTTACGGGCGAACGCGTGTTTTCGCCGAGAAACTTAATAAAACTCTAAATTCTTACCTTAGAGTAGTCGGTTTCTTTTACCTTCCCTTTGCTAACAATGAGAAAAATCCAGCATCCTTTCTTGATATTAGGCCGCATATATTATTGTAAAAATCCTAACTTCTCCATAATAAATTTACCGGGAAAATGAATAAAGTGTCAGTATTAAAGGGGGCTCTCAACTGACCCGTACTTTATCGTGAGTAGAAAGTTAAAAGCATACGTCTTGTTAGCATCAAGAATCACGAGCTGAAATATGCTCCTCTTTCAAGATGAAATTAAAAGTGGGAAAATAAGCTTTATCGATTTAGAAATAGTTATATATTCTTACCCTTTTATCATTTGAATGTCATGAACCAAAATTAAAAGAGCAAGAAAACGTCAAAGGTGTGACAAAACATGTATGTGTCAAAGTATGATAAACAATTATTGGATGAGGTTTTTGTGATTCTGGAATAATCAAGGTCGAGGTAAGTGTTATCAGCCTCGGCCTTCGGCTCGGCTGATAACACTTACCGAAACCTCGATTATTTAGGATATAAAAAAAATCGAATCTAATGATTGTTTTATTATACATTGTTTTGAAGAAAACAACGACAATGTATTGCGCAATCTAGAGCGCTTACCATTTGTACGGAAATTTCGGTGAAAAATAGCTAAAAACTTCCGTCAAATGGTACTGATATGTTTTTAGCACTGAAAACAGGAACAGGATTGAGTTGTACCATTTACAAAATACCGGTAAATTTTTCGCTTTCTCTGGACGTGAAGCCTGGCACTAGTAGTCTAAAACAGGAGCCCATAACCCGGAGCGTGCAACTGCCATAAATTCGTGCAACGGCGTTTTTACAAGTGAGTTTATTTTTAGATAAGCTTTTCCCGCGAAAAATGACTGCTGTCGCTTGGACCTTTTCACAGTCGGCTGTTTCGAAGATGATTTCGATTTCCCTTTCCGCGAATTATGCGTTGTCGCCCATGAAGTAGACGTCCCGGGCTCTTCTACGTTTTGCAGATCTTCCTCTGAACTGCTAGTTTCCGTGTAAATATACTGAAATTGTAGCTTGCAGTAGTGTCAGAAGAATCCTCTGAAGATTCCTCACGTGCGTCCGCCACGCTTTTTTTTCAATGTGAAGGAGTTGTTCTGGTTACGTGTTAAAAGTTTATTATTGATGACGCACTTGCTTGTGATTGGTTTTTCGAAAGCAATTCGCGGGAAAGGCTTATCTAAAAATAAACCTACTTGTGAAAACGCCGTTGCATAGGCGCAGTATGGAAGCTAGACGCTCCGGGTTATGGGCTCCTGTCTAAAAAAATGGTACAGAAAATTTCGGTCGTTTCGGTAAAAACGGGAAAAAGGGAATACCTCAAAAGGTATTACTTTTTTTCCGGAAAATTTTCACCGGAATGAACCGTTCCATTTGAATCCTCCCCGGACTTGCCGGGTTTTCCATACAAATGGTAAGCGCTCCTACAGATTAGTCAGTTATCTGCTAGCAGATAACTAACTAGCTCTGTAGGTTGCGCTGGTTTCCAAAATTAGCTGGTGGCTCTTAGCCAATGAGAAGACAGATAGCGATTACAATGTGTAATAATCAGATGAGTGTATTTTTAGGGGTAGAATAAGAACATCAATAATTGCTTACGAAATTAATGCCATTCAATGACTTAATGTCTACCTCTGTTCAGACACATTACTCGGCGCAAAACCGTTTAGTGATAATATCAACGGGCTTATTCCCAGTTATGTCAGCCAGTTTCGCCTCAATTTCATCGGGGCAGTAACGCTTATTGGTTTGGTAGCGAAAGTTTGGATTTTCGCTCAGAATCGCTTCTTTTATAGCCTCTGCTACTTGCGGTGCAGTCAAGACCTTATCCGGCTGAGCCCAGAAAGTACCCCAGCGGCTAATCACTCTGTCCCGTATAAGCACGGTCTTTGGGTCAGCGGATGACAGGTCCACACCCTCAATAAAATTATTGCTATCTTTCATTGGAGTATCAACAGGACCTGGTTCAATGATCGTGCACCTAAGAAACAAGAATCTATGAATTAGTCAATCTGCAAGTGAGTGCTCTTATTTTTCAGGGTATTGTTTCCAAGTTTTATTTTCACGGGAACAACAGTAACTAACAATACATTTGAAATAGGCAGAAATGTTAGCTATTTTTGTCCACGATAATATGAAACTTGGAGACAATACCTCTGAATAATGAGAGGCTCTAACTAGTAAACACGAAATTTCTGACAAAAAAAAAATAATAGCGAATTATGGAATCAAAGATGATATGAAACCACGGCTGATCTCGAGAATTTCAAATTCTTAAAAAAATGGATTAGGCGGTTCAAAAATTATTCGCTTATTTGTTTAAATGTTTACAAAACCGAAAACAGGAGCCCTCGATAAGTACTAATGAAATCCTTCTTTCTAACATTCGGCTAGAGCTACCTCCATGATCTTTCACATACGTTTTAAAAAAGACTGAAACTACTATAAGGTGAACTTGCATTTCAAAAGCGCTTAGTTTTCTACAGATAACGGCCGAACATCAAGATTGTCCTGTTCTTAAAACCATAAAAACTCACATCCCAAAAATATCTCGATAACTCCCAACACAGATTTCGCTTAAACTTCACGAACATCGAGGCGGTTATTGGGGGAAAAAGTTCCCGTGAAAAATTTTGGAAGAAAAGTTCCCCGTGCCGAGAAACATGGCTGCAAGTAAAATAGGTAATGGCGTCATTTCGCTGCTATGACAACTGCAATGTCATTGTAACCATGATTATAACAAATTTTACTCTTTGTCGAATATAGCTGTGGTCACGCCGTGGTAATTTTCCAAATCTTTGTTTATGGCGACGTAGTTTATGCTCTGAATGCTGCTCTGAATGCTGCTCTGAATGCTTTTTTGTATGAGATTATCAATAAATTTCTTTAAAGAAGTAATAATAACAATTAGCAACAAAGTACCTGATGTTAAACTGGCGAAGAGTTGGTGCCATTGATTCAGTCAGCCCTTCCACGGCAAACTTTGTTGAGCTGTAAATTTCAGCAGTAGGAAATCCAACTACTCCAGCATGGCTGCTGATGTTGATTATATGACCACTCTCTTTTGCTTTCATGTATGGAATCACAGCTTTAGTGCAGCGTACAGTTCCAAAGTAATTCACCTCGAAACATTTCTTCATCAACTCCATTGGAATGGATTCGAACACAGTGAAGAGAGACATACCGGCATTGTTAACTGACAAAGAAAAATGTTAGAAAAATATTATCACAGATAATCATTACTGAAATGTGAACTGAGGTCTTTGCTGAGATCACAAGAAAAATTTATGCTTGGCTGACTGTTCTATGTATTTTTTAAAATGTATTTTGACACAAAGCAATTTTTTCGAAGCATATATGAGACTAAAGTGTTTTCGAGTTCATAACCATTCTAAGAAAAAAATAATTTAATATTTGTTTTGAAATTTGCACGACTCTGTCTTCCAGTTCTTTTACGAATAAAGAATTGATAACTTTGTTTTAAAAATCGTACATCATTTCGTATGGGAGCTCTGCCTTTACGTTTGGCTAACTTAATAATACCCATAATTCTAACCTATAATCTTAGACGTAAAAGCTTCCAAAGGCCCAAGATAAACACCGAACGTTATAAGAACACATTTGTAAATAGGTTAATTTTTAAATACAATCTTTTATGATATTTTATGTCAGACATGTGTAACTAGTTTTTCGCATTTTTTAATCTTTTTATTCTATTGTAATTTAGCTGAACTTTTAATCTTTTTATCCTGTAACATGTATTTTTATCTAATGAGCAATAAAGACATTTATAATTTATTATTATTATTATTATTATTATTATTATTATTCATTATAATTCAACCAATACGCCTTGTAAATAAGGCTCCACATTCGACATTTGGGAATCGTTAACTGTTGAGTGTCAAACATGAACTGTCACGCTGCAAAAGACGCCATTGGCCGATTTTATTTTAGAGACGTTAACGCCGTCTTAAGACTAAAGTCTTGTTCAAAAAGGGGACGCCCTAAACTGGGACGCCTTTTAAATGTCCAGCTCGTCCAGAAACGACTGGAAAGTGTCACCGTTCTGCGGTTTTGTCTTCAATGTTGTCATCTTTGTTTATGCGTCTCGTTTTTACACCGGACAACTTTAACGTCTCAGACGATAAATGCGTCTAAACGACTTCAACTTTTCTTTTACAGCTGACTGTACATGCAACCACATACACATGATGTGGTTTAACGGTGGCAAAAAAATGTGAAGACAACCTCCCTCAGGCAAGTTAGGTACTCACTAGGGTCCGCATTAGTTGAGCCGGGTTGTTATTTTCAGCACCATGGTATCATGGTAAGCATTTTGTAATTCCTTTCCCAACGTGGATGGAGGAAGGCATGAGAC